GGTCGGCGCCGGCTGCCGAGTCGCCGCGTTGCTGCGGCGACAGGATGTTCACTTAACACCGCTATTACTAGAACAGTTGTGAACCGATTTTCTTATTGCTTGCACGATGAGATGTCCAATTCAATTCTTGACAGGTAGCCATAATTAATTTCGCATTAATCTTATGAGATATTGGCGAAAAACAGGAGGGGTGGGCGAAATTCGTTCTTCCCCCTCCACTGCGCGTGCTAACATACGTTTGCATATGTGCAATTTTCTTCAAAACTTATGAATGGCCCACTCTAATTTTTTCACAGGTTGTTAAGAATATGGTAGGCAATAAAATATATGAAAATGAGCCAAATCGAAGGTGACGTGTTTTTTGCTATTTCAATATTTGTGCTTAAGAACAGAGTTAAGCAAATTTCAAGGTCATATATTTAAGTAGGTGCAATTCTAAACAAATGCTTAAGATATTACCTAAACAGTAAGGTTTATTTCATTCAAATCAAACAAGTACAACCAAAGTTATGGTCGTTCAAAAATATAGAGATGCAACATTTTGTAAAAATTTGATGCCCTATATTTAGAAGACCTGTGGTCAGAATGTGCAAAAAACATCAATGTAATGTCCGGGGCCACACAGGAACTCGCTCACAAATTTATAATGAAATCGCTGATGGTAAGGTGCAAAACAGCCGATTTTTGTTCGATTTGACGTGGAATGCCCCTACTGCTAAATATTGTTGTGCTGCTAAGCGGGAAGCATCGCCTAAGCAACAGCGTCTATTCGCCGCGGATTTTCTCACACTTGACCGTGGCGTGGGCGCCATGAATATTTGCGGCACCCTCAAACCCAACACCACCATCACTTGACCATGACAGTGACCGCCAGCCGGCGACCGCCGACCGCGCGGCTCCGTCATTGAACGGCTTTGGCGTGATGCCGTGCGGCCGTCCGCTGGCTCCGAGCTATCACCATGATCCCCTGTCGTGACACCCAGCCGACGGCTAACTGTCCGCGCACCGGACTGCACGCCAGCCTGCCTTACGACATGAGTAACACGCAAACAAATCGCTGGAATTCACAGAATGAACCCATTCAAACGGTCATTGCCGTACGGGTAAGGAGTGAGCCTGTGCATTTTTATGGCGATTGAAGTGATAATCATAAATGGTTTCAATGCGGTTTGAAGCTAAGGATCTCCTGTTGAACCTTGGAGGCTATAATTTGTACATTCAACAGCATCACCGACAAGGTCATTGCCTTCAGCTATTTTCACCCCGGGTATCTTGTGCCCAAGTAAACAAAAAGTTACGAAAACAACTCTATAGATCACCTCCAACTGTGTCGCGCATTATGTCCCGCCGTACACTTCTCTCCACGCTGTAATCAAGGCACCACGTAATTGCTTCGACCTTGGCGAGTTCATGGGAAGGTTCAAGAACATAATGTATCAAAGTTGAATGATCCATGCTGTAATTCGGCTAAATAAAACTGAAACGAAGTGTCCACTTACGACATTAGCGATCATTCTGCGGCGTTTCCACTGAAGTAGCGTGGCGAATCGTCGTCATATGCTGGTGTCCGACTTTGAGCGACCGCGGCTGGTCAGCCGGGCTCTGAGAGGAGGTCGGCCGAGTCACTGTCCGGTCTAACTGGCCTGGTCCGGTCACCGACTCACCGCCCGACCGCGCCGCGCCGGTCAGCCGGCAGTTACGCAACCCGGCTAGCCTTCTGTGCGCCGTGGCAGTCACCGGAGACTGCGAGTCGGCGTGGGGCGCTAGCACCAGCGCCCTTCGCCCGCCCGCCGCTCACGTTCGCTCCCCGCCCGCCTACGCCCGCCCGCATACCCATCGCGGTTGTTGACACCGCCGAAAGCTGGTCAGTAAGATGGACGCCAGTGTGCCAGGGTGGCCGGCGCGCCGGCCGGCTGGCTCATTTGCACCTGGCCTCTGGTCGTGCGCGTCGGGTCAGGGCCGGCCGGCCGGGTGCCAGTGACAGTGACGGTCGACCGGTGTGCCATCCGGGTCTCACTGAGAGCGAACGCCGCTCGCTGTCACGATTCATGAGCGTGGCGCAGCACAGCTGATTCGTATGCTAATTCTGTTGTGGATGATTCAGCTGGGGATGGCTGTGGCGCCTTGTGTGGGCCACAGGTGGGTGTATTTTTGGAACGCCCTGGTACCGAGTCCAGGGCAGCTGCTGGCACACCGAGAGATCCCGGTGTTTTGCTGTAGAGGGTGATACGAAAAAGCGCCATTTTTCCGTATGTGCGCAGCTTTTGACGGCGGGTGGCTTTAGAGAGGGTCGGTAAGGGTTGGACAAAAAGGTGCATTCGTAATGGGGATACTGCCCGTGGATGACGTCATAAACAAGTCTTGTGGTGTATCTGGCGGCCGAGGGGTGGACCTGGGGCCCCTGGCCGGCAGCGCGGCGTGCCAAGGTCCCCGTGGGGCCGGTGCCGGCGACTCTGTACTGCCGTCGGACAGACTGGAGGGAGCGGACCCGGTCCTCCCGGCAGTGTGCGCTCCCTCCGACCGCTGACGGCAGGCGGTGGTCCCACACTGCTCAGTGGCTCCAACTCGACCCCAGCGCCGACACTATCTAATACCAGCTGCATGTGCTGCCTTGGATAAACGCGATACCACCGTATGCAAATGCAAATAATGATCCTTCGTTGGCAGACCGGCTCCGATAAGGCACCGCGAAAACGAGTGATGTGGTAGCTATTGCCTGCGATATTTATCGTCATACACGTATTCCAAACCACAGCGTCATGTGCCTATGGCCGAGTAAAAATAGTTCCCTGCCTGTGAAGGTTCACCTCGCGAGGCCGTGCTCGTGGTTGTGAGGCTGCTGCCCCGAATGGCGTGCTGTAGGGGTCACGGTCCTGGGGCGGGGGCGGGGGTGGCTGACTGCCGCTCCGCCCGGCTGGGAATCGTGACGGTCAGGGGACGGCTGACGGCGCACGGTCAGGAGAGTGGAGACCGACCGTCTACTGCTCGCTACCTCGCTCCTCTACCTCGCATCGCCTTTCTTAACTGACAGTGTCATGATTCTTGCTCTGTCAGGCTACGTGTGCTATACTTATTGGCTACCGCCGATTTATTGGCCCCTTGCTGATCGATAAGTCCCACGCAGCATTCAGTTCCGCTCTGTGAGTGGTCGGCGATTGGTGAGCGTCACCAGACGCCTACTTTCACCGCCGACAATGAGCGCGTTAGCGCCGCGTGCGACTACCGGCGCCGGCGGCTGCGAACGGGCGCACTTCTCACCGCCGCGCGCCGGCTAGTTTCCGGTTCCCAGTGTGTCTTTCTGCGAGCCGTATATGGTAGCGCCTGGCGCGCTCTGCGCCGTATTCGCCACGCTCCGCGCTGGTGATTGGCCAGTTCGGTGGTTAGCAGACATGTGCGCCCCTTTAAACGGTTCTGTGACAACCGACAGCGCTGAATACCGACACTGAGCCTCTCAGAGGGTCGCGGACGACAGACAAAGCCCGCCACCACACACCGAGAACCAGATACACCGCCGCGAAATTCTTGTGCCACTTCACCAAAAAAGGTTGTCTATTGGCGGGTTGAATGGGCCATTTTGGGGTGATTTGGCCGGCGCGGCGGAGACCGGGGTCCTGTGAGGGACCAGGGCCACCTCGTTCACCCGATCCTCGGGAGGCTGAGACATAGTCCGGCCTCATGGCCGAGATACGCCGCCGCCGCGGTCGGCGCTCCGGTGGCCTTGGTTAGAATATCAGCCGGTCGGGGAGGATTGGCGATTGATATACTGCTCAGGGTGATGGGATTTGGGTGCGTTACCGGTTGGGTGCGCTGCCCGCTGAGTGCGTTGTCCGGTGGCCGAACTGGGGTGTGGGTATGGGTGTGTTGGTCGGTGGGTTGGTGGATGCCTTGCACAGTGGGTGCGCCGGCCGGTGGGTGGTGGGGGCGGTGGGCCCGCTGCACTGGGAGTCGGCAGCGCGCCGCTCCCACGGCCCGGACGCCGCCGCACCGACCGCGCACGGCTACTAATTCCTGGCTTGCAATCGGGTCCCGCCGAGGGGCCGCGCCGTCGCCTGCGCAGGATCACCCGGATCGGCGAGACCTGCGCGTCCGACCCGCGCGAAGTTCATTGCCATGAGAGCACCGTCAACAGAGAGGAATGTCAGGTTTCGAAAGCGGCCACTAATGCTACCGGTTTCTGGCACTGATCTGACGGCGCGCGCGGTGGGACAGCGCCGGGCCGAGGTGGCAAATCCTCCGGCTCCTCAGTGGGCCGACGGCGCCGCAGTTCGACCAATGAGCGGCCGCGCCGGTCGCGTGCTGTTGTCAGGAAGCGGGCCGTTTTTACCGATGTCTCGGTGAACGGGTCGGATGACAGTTGATGACGGCCGACTGCGGCTGCTGCGGTCAGTCAACAACTCTGCGGCAGCGGCGCGGCGGGCGTCACCTTGAACCTGCACACTGAACTCGCCGGTCGCGCGGACAGTGCCGCAATCCATGACGGTGCGCCGTCAGTGCCGGATTGTCACGTCACCTCTGTCGGATGACGGCGATTAAATCGCTTTCTCTCGGAGAATACACAGTCGAGCTGACGAGCGCGACACGCTACCGGGACGTTTTCTCTTCCTTTTATCCGTTAGTCGGAGAATATGATAAGGATCAGTGCTTAATGTCAGTTCCTGCTAATTTTAAAATTACCACCACCTAATGTCAGAATTTTTACTCGACGCTTATGCCAGCACTTTTATGATGGGGCACCATTTTACTATCCCATCTGATTAAAACCTTATCTGTGAGTCACGTATGACTATGACTGTATTCTTTCTTACTGAGCCAGCATCTTGGCGGGACTGACGGCGACAGCCCATCGCCACCTTGCTCTTCCCACCTCATTGACTACAGAGCTTGTCTCAAGACACCCGCCACTTCATTACCATTCCGTCTACATCTGTGACCCCTCGTCACTAACGACCTGTCCCTAGTCGCTGACCTCTTCACTAACCCTGCTGTTCTTTTCGTTACAGGTCACGACGACCTAGCGTCACCTTGCAGTAATGGCCAGTTCGGCGACGACAAGCGGAAGAAGGGCCCGGTACCGCGACAGAATGAGGAGCTATGTCTCGTCTGCGGCGACCGTGCCTCCGGCTACCACTACAACGCGCTTACCTGCGAGGGCTGTAAAGGTAAGACAGTGCTCTCCTGCGAGAACTGTAAAGGTAACAAAGCGCTCACCTGACAATGTCGCCTAAGAGATTGTCAGGTGAGCAATGTAAGGTGAGTAAATGTAAGAAAGTGGTCACCGAGGGCTGTAAACTGTCTTGCTCATCTGCGAGGGCTGTAAAGATAAGAAAGCGCTCACTCTCCTTTCCGGGTTCTGAACTTGACCTGAAGTCAGGGCCGGTAAGTCCAGACTCGGGGGTGTCTGCGCAGCTAGTTTGTGGAGGTCAGGGGCCTCGGAGCGGGGCAGACCAGGGAGCGCTCCGTGTGAGACGGCCCGTGAAGGCCAGTCTCGGCTCCGTGACGGTCGTGACGCTACCAGGTGCCGCCCCGTGACCCGTCACGGCCGGCGGTCGCGCCGGCAACAGGTAACCGGCCTGATAGATGGGCCCTAACTCAGCCCCACGGCCATTGCAATATGCCGGACAGCAAGCATCTATGGGAAAACGCCGCTGTTCGAAGCCGGTTAATGCGGCTTTATTTGAGGGTTATTTGGTCAGTGGGTGTGCTAATCTGCTCTCAATGTTCTCTCTCCAGTGTAGCCGTACCGTCTATGGTAGATATCAGTGTAACTACCCCCTAAGTCCGAGGTGATGTCCCCTACATCCTTTATTATGCCCTACCCCTTACGTCCGATGTATTCGTGCCTTTCACCGGTGCCGGCGGCTGTGATACGCTCCCAGTGTAGTCTGCTGTGGACTTCCCCCATGTCGATGCATCATGTTCTGTTACTCTCCCAGTGCAGTTTGTTGTGATCTACTCCAGTGCAGTTTGCTATGCCCTGCTCTCTTCACCCGATATACAGAGCCGCGCCTCTCGCCGTTGCCGGCGGCGTTGGCGGCGCCGATGCCGCGTGTTGGGAGCCAAGGTCACCCCGCTGGCTGCGGGGCGGAACTGGCCGGCTCCAAGCGGGATGGCACGGCCCGCCCGCCCCATCCTGCAGCCACGGGGTCCCTGACGACCCTCGGAGGGCACCGAGTGCAGCCCACAGCCCGCTGAATGCAGGCCGTGCGGGTTAACAGCTCACCGCCGGGACGTACCGGTGACCTGGCGTGGGTGGCTCTACATGCGCGGTGGTCGCTCGGCTGGCACCAAGTAGCAACAGTGTCCCGGTCTCGTGTTGGTAGGGAGGGGTGCTGGATATATGGCTGACAGCTCTGACTCCGTCTGAGAGTGCCGCAGCTAATTGTTTCCCGTGCTGTCGCCACCCTGAGTTATTTTATTCTTCGTCGGCTTGGTTGCGAACTGAAACACTTGCATGTGAACTGACATGAGAACTTCTGTTTCAGGTTTCTTTCGGAGGAGCATGACGAAAAATTCAGTGTATGTATGCAAATATGGCCAAAACTGTGAAATCGACATGTACATGAGGAGAAAATGTCAAGAATGTCGGCTCAAGAAATGTCTAGCTGTCGGCATGAGGCCAGAATGTAAGTATTTTACATCACGGCAGTAATATGTTTGTGGCACCTTTTTGGCATGTGTATTGCGTTTCGCGTGAGGATACGGCTATGCTTTAAATGACGGTTCGTCTCGTCATTTTTTTCGGGTTGCTATAGAAAATTAATTAGACAGACAAAGTCCATGATACAGCTCACGGCAGCCCGGGGGCAGCTGGTGGGTCTCGCTGTTCGCTGGAACGGACCTCCATCAGTTAAAGCCTCTCGGTCATAGAAATCCGCCAGGTTCGGTCCTCTCGGTCGGGCTGGCCCCTCTTATAATCGTCAGTCAGCGGAACCCCGCTCTTAGAATGTGACCTAGATGCACGGAGCAGCGTGACCAGAGTTTTGTAAGCCTGTAAGACGCTTATCGGATCACGAGAATTAATGTAACACAAGGGTCATTGGCCTCGAAATGTTGACGCTCGTGCCTGCTTGGTTGAGCGCTCACTTCTCATTCATTTTCGTTTATTTGCTTGAAGTGTCGAGTCGACGCATCACAGTAATGGGTGTTTAATTTCCATATTCATAACATAACCTCATTATCTCCTCTGTTGAATTAATTTTTCGGCTCATTATGTCGAAAAGAATGTACGAGTAGCTTCACTTTGTATCTATTCTAATGGTGACAGAAGAAGCTTGAAATCCCTGAAGCCCAAGTACAGTGGTATTTATACTTGCCTTTGAAATTCCATAAATAACAATAGGTACTATTCAGTATTCATTGATAGCCAACAGTAAACATGGATGATGGATGTATGCATAAATCAGTCACAGGTAAGCCCTGATCAGGAACATTTATTCGGTTTATTCTTATCTTTATTATGGATGAATAATGCAGGCATATGGGGCACGGCAGGTCCTACATACTGTGATATACTGTCCTTGAGCGGGCTCCACTGAACGCCCCGTCGTGCCGCACTGGAACAATACCGGACGTTGGATCCTACTGACATGTTGTAGTCAACCTACCACAATACTTGAGGTCACAATCTGACCTGGATGGATCCCCCTACCACAACTATCAGCGGCTGGTCTGTCCGTTCCGACCAATAGCTGCGCCTTCATTCGCCCTTCCGTGTGTTGCGCAATCTGCTGTTGTTTCCTCCCTTCCCGCCCCGCCCGGAGGCCCCGATAGTTGTCTTTCCGCCCCGGCCCGTCCATCCGTCCGTCCGTCCGTCCGCTCGTCCGGTCCGTAGCCAGAATGTTGCAAAAGCGGGCGGCCTGCGGCCGGGTGGCGGCGTCTCGGCCGGCCTGCCGTGCTCTGCGCCGTTGAGCGGCGGTGGCGGCGGCAGCGGTCAGCCCCAAGGTCATTGGTGCATTGCCTCCAGTGTCGTCACGGAGCTGGCGCTGCACCTGGCGGGGGCGGGGGCGGGGGCGGGGCGGCGAGGAGATACACGGCCGGCACCCACGGGCCGCCGCCGACACTCCCCAAACGGAGCTGCGCAGAAGCCTAAAAAAAAAAAAATAATCGGTAATCATAGGATTCTGCAACCGCGTACATGCCTCTGCAATTTATGTACGCATTTACATAAGGTGACAGATCGTCCGTAACTGATAAGCCGTGCAATTTAAAAATAATTACGCATTCTATTATCATATTTATAAGTTAACGTGTGAAAGAGCTATTTCTGCTATCATCATGCTGCTGGCAGGGCGGGATATCCTTTGGACGAAAGTAGGGTCTTCGAGTGAACTCTGATCGGTGATGCAATGGATAAACACACACTGGCCAGCCGCCCGGTGAGCTGGGCCAATATTTGACAGGCGGGGTGTTGGCACTTGGCAGGCGACGCAGCGGTACCCTGGCGCAATGGGAGGGCTGCGGAGGGGGAGAGGGCAGTTCGAGTGACCGCTGATGTCAGTTCCCGGGTATGTGTGCACTGTATATACAGTTATGCACGCTCGGTACCGGAGACTGAGAGGAGAAACGAGGGACGGGATGGATACTGAAAGGTGGGACTAATAGGACTGAATAAAGGGCAGAGTCTGGGTTACACGATAGAGGCTGGATCGAATTTTCTTACAGATTGTCAAAGCGGTGCCGCGATAAATGGCCGCAGTGCCTGAGTAATATGGCACTAGAAATGGTGTTTATAGTTCGATGATTCTCCTGACTGACATGTTCTTATCTGACAAAATCCTCCTTTCCTCAGGTGTGGTACCGGAGTACCAATGCCAGGTGAAGAGGGAGGCCAAAAAGGCGCAGCGGGAGCGGGACCGGCCCAACTCGACCACCTCGGCGCAGGACGGGCCGGACTCCAAGCGGCAGCGGCTGGGCTCCACCGTAAGTGACCTTCCTGTCCATCACAGGGACGAGACCCTATCCCCGGGACGGGACGCCCCCTTTGGAGACGCCGCTCCCCTAGCCGGCCGGTCCAAGGACAAGGCCGCGCGCATCCCGTTCGGAGGATTAATTGGACCATTTTTGCTTGTCTACGGGCCGGGGAGTCGTCCCCCAGCGACCACGTGGCCGGCCGGCGAGGTCATTAGGCGCTGACCGGTGAACTGGTACGGCACACGTGGTCCGTCACGTGACCGGGTCACGCTGCTGTGTGTTGGGTCGCCGGTAAGTGTGTCTGTGTGTCAGTGGGATCGGGGCGGCTAGCGTGCTGTCGCCGGTAAAAGTAATGTCGTGCAGTGCGTTTTTCTGCCAAGCTGCGTACTATCGTAGGACATGTTTCCTCAAAACTTCCTGGTCGGTAGTCTGCATTGTTTCACGCAAAAATGGTATGGCACAGTGTCTTGTCGGTCCATTCGGGTTATAAGCTTGTGGAAGTATTCTGTTATGTCAACAGAATATGTGCATTGTGCACTAAATGTGCAGTGTTGTCATTCAGAAGCAAACAAACCTGACCACAACAGACTAGCTGGTGTCGTGGTTTAACGAACAATCGCTGGTCAGAACGTGACATATGGGATTGTGCGAGCTGAGAAACCAAATCAGTCGGTTCAGCTGAAATTCGAGGCAGCATTTTTTTGGCAATGAACTTCCGAAATGCAATGTTATCTAATTTATGTACGTCTACTTCTTTCATCTTTTGTAGGCACACGACAATAATTTTAACTTGCGCCGCCACTCCGTAAGCGCACTTATATTCGAAAGTCATCCTCAGACTTGTATGCCCGTGGCCTGTGGTCTAGCATCCCCTGCGCGGTACCCCAGTATCTGACGAAGCTCCGATGCTGTGCCACAGGACCAGACGGTAGCTGTCGCTGGCGCGGCCGGCGGCGGCGGAGGCAGTATGCCCGCACCCGTCTCCCTTCCCGTACAGCGGCGCGCACTGACCGCCGAACAGAACGAGCTCATCAACCGGCTGGTGCAGTACCAGGAGGAGTACGAGTCACCCACCAAGGAGGACATGAGGCGCTCGGCGGTGAGTACCTGCCCGCACAGACCGCGCCGTAGTAACACTCGAGGGAGGGGAGTGGGCGACTGTACTCGGCAGAGGTTACCTCGGGCTCTGGACTAGGAGAGGTGGGTTATACCCTGCGCCCTCAACAACACTGGGTGACCCCTTAGGGAATAGGGAGGCGCTTTGGGATGTTGTTAGCTCCTGGGTCCCGCTGCAACCAAGCTCATCTCCCCCTACCCGGGCGCTGTACAGGGGACGGGAGGGTACAGAGTAGCCGTGCCAGGCTCGCGTGCAGCGCCAACCATTGCCGCGGCGCTCTGTGGCAGGAAGCACCTCCCGGAAAGTTTCCGTGCGGCAGTGTTCCGTCAGCGCTGCCTGGGAAGATAAATCGCCGTCTGTGCTGCGGACGCGGTGATAATCAGCCTCGCTGCAGACTCGGACGGGTCCCGTTTGTGGTTGGACGGGAGAGGCGGCAGGGGTGCAGTGGGGACGGACCCCGCTCCATGGAACGCCGATATCGCGTGCTCCCTAAGCCCTGCTGACCGCTCTCTCCTCGAGACTTTCTTCCGCGTCCGGGCGGTGTCGGTGAGAGGGGCCTAATCGTCTCCGGGCTGACGGGGAAGGACATGCTGGATAGAGAGGGGATGTTAATAGTGTCCCCGGGGGGTCAGCGATGGGTGCTCACCATGTTCAGTGATATAGAGGTTAGAAAGTTGTAGGGTGAGAGGGAGGGCCAATCACAGAGGTTAGAAGGTTAGAGGGTTAAAGGGAGGGCCATTTAGGGTCCCCGAGCGGGTCTAGAGTGTGCGCTCACCGTGTTCACTGGTGTCGAGTGTTTGTGCGCTGGCTCTGCCGTGTATGGCGAGCGCTTTGTGTCCGCGTGACGCCCCGTGTCTACCCCGACGTGAGACGCTCTTCCCTGTCTGTCGCTTGCCGTCCGCCGGTGCACGGACCGTCCGTGCCACCGCGCGGCGGCCCCACGCTGTCCCTGGTCCGCTTCGCTCCCTGATCGGTTCCCCTGGTCTGAACATGCGCTCAGTGTCCTCACCAGAATACAGTAACGTACTTATCGAATTTATGTGCTGACTAACTAAGTTTGAGAAATTAACGATTTTCTCTTAACACATAACGCTTTGTATTTTTGTACTTTCCTGGTTTATTTTTAGCACGATCAAAATTATTTTATCGATCTAATTTCCACCAATAATGTTGTAACGCAAAATAACTGGAAAACGATCTGCATAATTTGAGTTTGTGTCGCTGATAATCACAGCCACCGTTCTGATATTGAAGGAGGTTGTAAATTGGCCGATCAGGAGGCGGAGCGGGCCAACCCGACTGGAATGCCTCCCCTGCCCTCCCCATTTCTCTGCCTGGCTGCCCTGTGACCGCTTCTGAATGTGATGTGCACGGGGGTTGGGAATGGTGTCATGTGGTCGGTCGGTGGTTACCCACTCCCAGTCAGTCCTTAGCCTCTACCACAGAGCCGCTCACAGTGGATTCCAGCTGCAGTCCTGCAGGTATCCCCACCACAGATCGGCCTCCAGTTTACCAGGTGCCCTGTCCGTCAACCTCGGCAGGTGGAGTTGAACGTTAACGTAAGAGTAGTCTGCATTCTTATTTCTGATTATGAAGTTGCAACGTGGTTCTGTGACATGCGCTTATTATTTTCAAACGTTTGACCGTCTATTTCTTTCCGTCTCTTTTTGCCGTTTCGTCTCTGGGGCGAACAACTTAATTCAAACTAAATTTGAGCGGATATCTCCGTACCAGTTTCGTTCTGAGAACCAGCCTCGTGACAAAATGAATAACATTTCCGATAAAAAATGCGGAGACGGTGGTCGGGCGTGCCTTAGTCACCGGCTCTTTCCGCGTTCCTCGGCACGGTAGCAGATCGTGACGTGATCCGTTACGCCGTGTTGTTTTGACGGGACATTTCCTCGTTATTGCCAGCCAGTGTCGGCTGCCGCTGCTCCGTCATTGCCATTTACTGCGGAATGGTAGCAGCCCAACCTGAAAACCACATTCTCTGAAAGGATAGATGGCCGCCATACCTTATCTGAGGTGAACGGAAGCGGTTCGCGTTTTTACGAGTTTTCTTCCTGCATTTAATGAGCTACCTCCATTGATAAGAGCGATAGCCGGTAGCCTCCACTGCCGAGGGGACATTCCTTGCACATATTTTTCTCCGTCCTCTGTCCTTCCTGTGACTTTCAACCACCCGGTGAGCTGGCGGAACGACCGTCACTGGCCCCGGGGGCTAACGTCAGTGACGTGTATCACCGGGCACCCGAACACGGGCTGACGTCGGTGATACGAGTCACCAACCTGTGACTGACGTCGGCGCCGTGTATCACCGATCGTCGGTTGACGTGTATCACCGATCGTCGGTTGACGTGTATCGTCAATCGTCGTCTGACGTCGGTGACGTATCGCCTAACGTCGATGACGTATCGCCTGACGTCGGTGACGCCGTCGTTGCAGCTGGAGCGGACCAGCTCGGACCCCGCCGAGCTGCAGTGTAAGCAGATCACCGGCCTGACGGTGCTCACCGTTCGACTCATAGTCGAGTTCACCAAACGGCTACCCGGCTTCCAGGACAAGCTCTGTCGCGAGGACCAGATTTGCTTAGTCAAGGTGACTATCGGATGGATGGGTGGTTCTCGGGGGGGGGGGGGGGGGTCGAAAGCAGCCAACAGTAGGTAAGTACGTATCAACAGGTCATATGCAAACAGCTGAGTCGTCTGGAGAGATGCACCCTCGATAACACAGCAGACGCGAATGAACGGTAAGTGACTCACACTGGCTGACCGGAGATAGGACAACTTGCCCCGGATTCCGGTCTTCTTCTTCGTCGTCGTTTTTCTCCTCCGCTTCTGCACAGGCAGCTGTAATTCGGATGGTGCGCGAACGGCAGCTTTTCTGTTTTCCGGTGGAATGTTCCAGTCTCGGCCGAATGGCACCAGTTTTGGGCCGCTGGCTGCTGACCAACCGGTCAGGTCATAGTCGGACCTGTCTCCTTTTATTGCGCCATCACATTCTGGAGATGCTGACGTCACAGCTGAAGAAACTAGTCGTCCGAAGAGATTGGGTAGGTCACTTGTCGATGATTCAGACAGCAAATACCTGGCCTGGCAGGACGAGGAAGCACCCAGTCAAGGGAGTGACGATCCATTGACGAATGTCTTCTCCGACGTCTACCTACCAGTCACCACTGCCGGGGTGATTTGGTGTCGTGCCAGTGTCAGTATGGGTCTGAAGGCCGGCGCGGGGTCGGGCGGGGGGCGGATCTCAGGTGCCGCGGTCGCTGCCCTTGGCCAAGGTCGCGGCGCAGGCCTCGTCTCGCCGGCCGACACGAGCGGGACCGGATTTCCGCTGTGTGCCGTCGTCGGCCGAGAGCCTTGATTGCTCTCGGGTTAGCCGTGACTCTTGGTGAACAGTGCCGTCTGCAAGAGAGGACACCGAGGAAACTGACAGTGGCCCGCTCCGCAACTTCGTCCGGCTGGTCGTAAGGCAAAAACGCCACCACGAGCGAACTCTAGGCATCGCTAGCCCATCGCTGAAGCTGAACGTTCGGCCGCCTAGCTCATTGGCTGGATTCCGAGCTGCTTAGTGGAACTCCACTGGACCTATTGTTCGAGCTCATCGGCACATTGACTCGCTCGAATACTCCGTCACGTCATTAGAAAAGACTCCTAGAACGCCAAGGTGTTCGTCCCAGGCTTCTGCGGAATCAGCGTCCAACGAGAACAAAATGCCGCGTTGACGGTTCTGAGAAGGGAGCCATTTTTAGAGAGATTAAGCCGACTGCCAACGACTTCCCGACAAAGAAAGTCGAGAAAAAAAGACGTGGGTTCAACCGCCGTGAAACCTTTGATAGCGCAAGCCGTACATCTTACGATCAACCAATGCAGAAAATATGGAGAGGTAAGAAATCGACGGCGGTGCCGGTTTCTTCCGTACTCTTTGCGACCATTTCTTTGACTGCAGACATGGACTCACGACATCGGGTAGTTGACAAGCGACTCGATTGGACGAACGCCCTTCTTTTCCGGCCTATCCGGCCCTCTCTGTCTCTCTGTCTCTCAGTCCTGCTGGTCCACTGACTCGGAGGCCCTGCTCCCCTGGACTGGCTACCCGAGTCCAGTCTCGGCGGCTGCCGATGTTTGACCAGTGAGGTCAGACTCCTCGCCCTGGCCTGTGTCTGAATCCCTGGCCGGAGAACCACGGACAGGCCACTGTGTCAGGTGGTCGAGGCAGGCCGCTGACCCCCGGTGCTCGAGGCGAGGTCAGAGCCCCCGGGCGGGCAGAGGCGGCCCCTGAGAGGCCCCTGACCGGCCCCCGCCGCCGCCTCAGACGCTGGTCGACACGCCAGGGGAGGACGACTCGGAGCGACACTTCCGACGCATCACCGAGATGACAATCCTGACCATAAAGCTGATTGTGGAGTTCAGCAAGTGTCTGACGGGCTTCGACCGGCTGGTCAAGGACGACCAGATCACCCTGCTCAAGGTACAGATCCGTGACCGCTGCCGCCGCAGCGCTGCAGTCAGCCAGTTTCACTGCAGCCAGTTGTGTTTATGTTTGTAGTTGACCGTTTCGCCTCATCAAGGAATTTCTTAGATTCGCTCCCCTATTCTGTCTTCTAAGTTTAATTTCATTGGTTTAACCTCCAGCGCTGCACACGATGTATGTATTACATGCGGCGGATGTTAGCTCAGCATGCCATTCGGGTGCGGGGGATGGCTGCATTAGCCCGGCTCGTTTCGGGTATTCGAGGCGGCCCGGCCGACTGCCATTGTTTGGGCGGCGGAGCGGCCGCTCCGTCTGGCCCGGCCGGCTCGCCACTCGGCGGCCAACTGTCAAACATTCCCGTGGCCGGGGACAATTAGAGGTCAAGGTTCACGGCCCCGGTTCACGGACACCCGACGGGTCACGACGGCGGCGCGCGCTCTCTCTCTCTCTCTCTCTCTCTCTCTCTCTCTCTCTCTCTCTCTCTCTCTCTCTCTCTCTCTCTCTCTCTCTCTCTCTCTCTCTCTCTCTCTCTCTCTCTCTCTCTCTCTCTCTCTCTCTCTCTCTCTCTCTCTCTCTCTCTCTCTCTCTCTCTCTCTCTCTCTCTCTCTCTCTCTCTTTCTCTCTCTCCCTTTCTCTATCGTTAATATATTTTGATGTCTCCTCATCCATTCTTGGAGAAACATTCTGTCAAAGGTAGGTAAGAACCACACACACACTCAGAGCAATTCACAGCTGTCAAGAGAAGGAACGGTGATGGGTGGGGGCGGGTGGGAGCAAAGGTGGAAAGGGATTTGTGGCTTTTCTGTTTTTTTTTTCGTTTCGACTTTCGCCCCTCCCAATTTTTTCATACATTATCATCACCAGGCCTTAATTAAAGGAAAAGGGCCACCTTTAACATGGGGATTGAAACTGAGATAGCCATCTTGTAGCCCGTGTCCGAAAACCTGTCTGTCTACCTCCTTACGGCCGATTTCGGCCTCCATTCGTAGTTATCGGCAATTTTAAAAGAAAATACGCCAGGAATGCGTCCTTATCCCAGGAATGCGTTCTTATCCGACAATACAGCCACCCGCGGCGAGGCTTTGGTTTTTTACCAATCAGCTCCAACCAGCTCAGCTTTAACCAATCAGCTTATCTGACACAATCCGACGAGTCTGTCTTCTGAACGCTGATTGGCTTGAGTGTGACGTCATCGCTATGCCATCATACAGTAGGTGCCGTAGAGAGTATCAACATAGTACCAATATGTTAAATAGTTTTAAATACTTTTTCGCGAATTGTGCACTTCTGGCACCAGTTTTAAAAAGAAAATGAAAAATAATAATGTCAAAATGAAAAACAACGATATCTTCATATTTCACGAAGGTGGCCCTTTTCCTTTAAAGTAAAAAAGGTTAGGTAATATGCTAAATATACCTTAGTTGCATGGCGGATAGCTGCATAATGAGCTGCAGCGTGGGCGCTCTAAGTATGTCGCCGTTTTGCACCGTCATGCCTCTCCGCCTTGTGACGTCAGACAGGATTATTTCATCACCACGCGTCGGTGGTTGCTGATTTAGCCGGTAGTTCTGCGTGCCGCCGCTGTGTGTCGCTAGTGTCGCCGCGACTGACCTCCCTCCCCCGGGGGGTTACAGGAATGCTCCAGCGAGGTCATGATGCTCCGCTGCGCTCGTCGGTACGACGAGGATACCGAATCAATCGTGTTCGCCAACAACTACCCCTACACCCGCGAGTCGTACGAGCGCGCCGGCCTCGACTCGGCCACCATCGACAAAAACTTCCAGTTCTGCAAGAAGATGTGCAAGATGAAGGTAGATAACGCCGAGTACGCCCTGTTGACTGCCATCGACATCTTCTCCGGTGAGTCCTTCTGCCGTTTGTGACGGGCTGTTGGGGGTCACAGGGGCACTGGACTAGAGCAGAGCATATAGAACAACGGCTGGAGTCTGGGCCGGGGACTCCACCTATGCTGGGACGCTGACCTCAAGGAAAGGGATCTTCCGTGTGTACTTTCCTTGCTCTGCTAGCGGTGCCTGTTGATGTAGCACTAGCTACTAAGAGCTTGAAGCGCTTCGTTTATGTCCATTTAAGGTTTGCGGGGAAGAAATGTTACGGTACATATGATCATGTCAGTGTGTTAACCGGAGCTGAGTTGTGGTCGTTGGTCTAACGCCGAGTTCATTGTCCTATGTCCATTTTAGTCGGAACGATGTCGTGTTTACGGTGGTGTGTAACAAAGGCGGATTTTCTGTGGTTAGTTTGTTCCAATGTGAACGTGTGCCTACGTGTCGCTCTGGCTGAAAATGGGACCCAGTTAGCTGAATCGGCCAATGGCGGTCCGGCGCCCGCCCGTGGCTCGCTCTGATCAGTCGCGGTCCTCCAAAATATGTACAAATCGGCCCCGTTAAATGATACTATCTATGGCTCTGGGGCCACGCCGACTGAGGGGCCGAACAGTTTCCCATTCTGTGAAGTGCTATTTATTTTTCCGGTGGCGTGCGGTGGCGGCGATGCTATCGGCGGCTCTGCCCCTCTGAAGCCGTTACGGGGGCCAATCGCGGCGCTAGCGGTGTTTCAGGGGGCCAATCAGGGCCGGTAGCGAGGCGGCCCTCAGCCAATGGCAGCAGGGCAGCGGACGGCCGTACGCCGTGCCGTGAGCGGTACAGAGATGGTGCCGATGTTCGTGTTCGGTTCACGGTGTACTTTCTGCTCACGGCATCGGTCATTGCCGCTAACGGTCACCCCGGACCCCGGGGGTTGGGAGGGGGCAGGGGATGGGGGGCTGAAGGTCAACGACTGACTCAGGGCAGCGTAGGTAGCGGGGCTCGGCGACGCCCTGTCCGTGTCCTTCCCCGGGGCGTGGATCCCCTGCCTCCGACCCGCCGTCCGTGTGCCTGCCTACTTATCATTTATCCAGATCCTGACACTTACTAATGAGGAGCCACCATCCCGCCTCGGCTTAGACGGCGGTTTCCAGAGTGTGTCCCTTCCGTAGATCCCCGTGGGTGTCCTGTCTGACGATGTTCCTCTTTCTGTCCCGCAGACCGGTTCGGTCTGGAGGAGCCGGACAAGGTGGAGCGAATCCAGTCCATCTACGTGGAGGCGCTGAGGGCGTACGTGGACTTCCAGCGGCCGCCGCCCACCGGCGTCATCTTCGCCAAGCTGCTCAGCGTGCTGACCGAGGTCCGCCAGCTCGGCAAGCTCAACACCGAGCTCTGCTGGTCGCTGAAGCTGAAGAAGCGCGTGCTGCCGCCGTTCCTGCACGAGATCTGGGACGTGCCGGCCTAGCGCGCCGCGCGCCAGTCGCTCTCCCCTCGCCGTGTGTGTGTCTGTGCGTGAGCGTGGTGGGCCGCCGGCCGTGGTGACGTCACCGGACTAAATACTGATAGTGTGACGTCACAGGACCTCTGAGGCTGCCGCGCCCGCCGGCTAGTGGGCCCAGTGCTGAAGACACTAAGTGTGTATGTACCGCTTCACCGAGGCCCGAGCTGTATTTTTTTCCCATGACGGCCTCGCTTTTGTAGCTCATGACCATTGTTATTCGTGAAACTTACATCTCATTTGTGTACAAACTTGTATGGTTTGCATCGCATACTTGTATTGACGAAATGTGTTGCGAGCGCTCCGCTTTTATTTATTCTGATGTTGTCTCCAGCTGTCCATCTTCCGCTCTTCCATCCGGTTGTGTGCAAACACTTTTGCAGTGCTATTTTACGTTGGCAAAGAGGTGTTTGTGCAATATTGAAACCAAACCGGCGGTTTTGACTCCATACCGGCGCGCGCGGTTGCTGTTGTCGAGTTGGCTACTGTGAGGCGGCGGTGCGGACGGGGCTGATCGCCCCGGCCGGCCGCCCGCTGCTCCATAACTGGGCTGGCCGGCGCCCGCCGCCGCCGTCCCTACGCGGAAACACTAGGTTGTGACCTGCTCTAGAGTGTGTGCGAGAGAGGCAGTGCGTGTTAGTGAGTATGTGTGAGTTTGTGAGTCCGAGCCAGCCAGAAGCGGCGCGCCGCCCGCCCGATCACCGCACTCCGGTCCTCCGCACGCAGCTGCGGCTCTCCTCAAACCGAAATTATTTTGTAATGCTATATCAAATCGACTATTTTATGGTAATCATGTGATGTCTACTCAATGACAAAATGTGTGGTGACCGAATCAGACAAATCACCACATTCGTATGATAAGACTGGGACGAATCACGGGCTGTTTCACACCACAGCGTAACTGTTCACATTGGTGGTATTATTTTCTGCGCCGAGGCGCCTGGCGCCCCAATATTGTTCTATCCGACCCTTTCAGAGCAGTCGTCGCGTCCCCCCTCCCCCCGGGGACTGACCCCGTGACCCGGGGTCAGTCCGGGCGGGGGAGGGCCGCGGCCCGTGCCCACCGTCGGCTTCTGCCGCGCACAGAGTACAAACTATCGGACCCGGTCGCCCCCACACCGCGCCTCACACTTCATCTGTATATAGGTGGTCATAGAGGGTACCTGCTGTTACGTGAGCGAGTCGGAGCGCGAGTCCCTGTGAGCGGCCCACTGTGAGAGGAAGCGAGCGTGTCCGTCAGCTCCCAGAGCCAACACTGCGGCCGACGTGCGTGTGTGTCTGTATGAACCTTTTTATATGGAAGGGAGCGGTTTAGTCCTCTTTATTTTTGTCCAATAAACTGCGTTTGTGCGAGGATGCGCCGTGTGTTTGATGGGGTGGGGTTGAAACTGCGCTGGTGGCTGGACGAAAATCAAACAATGGGGTACCTACTATAAGGATTAGTCGTGGCTAGTGCCTAGTTTGCGAGCTATCGAGACGAAAAAGTGCGGTAAAATAAATTCGGAGAGAAAGGAGATAGCTCATTTATTGTACACACATACTGATGTAAAACGACACAAAGCCACCCACTGATCAAAAGCACAAGCAGTGTGACTCGGCAGTCGACATAGATATAATCGTATAAGAACACTTAATACAGCTCGTATTGTTCAAGACACTGGTTCACAATACATAGGTATATAATACACCTGCTATCTAAAGCCGGTAAAACGTTTCGTTTAAAAATGTAAAGGCCCGAAGTTCGAACAGAAAATTTCATTTTTCTATCATCTTGTAACTAACGATAGTTTACATGATGATGCAATAATACCAGTATAACGCCTTATGGGGCGACTAACGGAGCGAGCGAGAGGGTGGGCCTTGCACGTGCGAAATTTCGAGGGGGTACCTCCAACTGACTTGTGCACGGCACCCTACTAACCGGTCTCTAGCGATGTGCCAAATTTGAGCACAATCGGCCCAGCCGTTCTCGAGATCTGGAAGCGGCACCCTGCACGTGCGCACGTGCAAAATGAGTCCCAACTGACTTGTGCACGGCACCCTACTAACTGGTCCCTAACCGTGTACCAAATTTGAGCGCCATCGGTCCAGCCGTTCTCGAGATCTGGAAACGACCCCTGCACGTGCGCACGTGCAGCAGCACCCCAACCTTAACACATGCAAATGAATTATCTGATAGAGACCTAACTGTGTACCGAGTTTCAATTCAATCGGCCCAACCGTTGTGCCGTTATTGAGGTTGCAATTTTGGGGGTTCTTAAAAAATGTCCAACTTTACCACGCGCCACGTGCGGTGGTTGGCAAGAACGCATGGTGGCCATCACACCACAGAACTTTTACGTCCAAGTGACATTCAGTAAAGAAGACCGCTTGTCAATCGGATGTCCCGTTCCTGAGATATTAGCTTTTGAAGAGCGTCCCCACGGCCGGCCGGCCGGCCGCTCATACTCAGAAATTTCCGTTAATCTAAGGAAAGACTCCGCTCGCTTCGCTCGCTCCGTAATGACGTTGATGACAAATGATAATATGACAAATGATGACAAAATCCACTTTATTTCGAAAAGTAGGTATAACCTTAATTCGCTTATCGCTAGACGACTTCCTACGTTTTACGGCCCCTCTCCTTGTGCCGCTCCGTCCGGATATAAGCCCAGGCCAAGAAGTCACGTTTCATATCGTCCAACTGGAAAAATATCGGGTTCATGCTGGCCAGTCGAGCTCTGGACTCCATGTCTTCAGCTCTCTGAAAGCAACAGTGGCATTTGTTTCACATGGTTCACGATGACTGCATGAATTGACCGCATCCCAGGAAACGTTCGTTTTCGGTTATCGTAACGGGACCGCTGATCAGAAAAACGTGGTGGCATTTCGCCTCCTTGCCATACATAAGTGCATGATTGAATGACGGGTTTCCATCAAGTCGTCATATTTCAATGTCATGTTACCGTTGCTAGCGAAATGCAGAACACTGGTCAACATTGTTCCTATTGTATAGGCAACGGAAGAATGATCGAATGTACGGACCATTGTTCAAGCGAAGGTCATGGCCGGGCTAAATAAACTCTATGTTTAAACAGTGGTGCTCTCTGCACCGATGGCGACTTTTTCAAAGTGACAGGCATTGATGGATTGGATCTTGCAAGTCTAGCTGTGGCATCCATGGTATTAGCATAAAAAGCTGGTTCGGGGCTAGGACGTGACATCATTTGGTACCGAATTATGGCCACCAAGGCCATGTCTTTTAGGCCCTGACGCTCGGGAGCTGGCCAATTTTCACAACGGTCATCCAGAGAACGTTTGGCATTGGAACCAACTTCTAGTAGTGGGCAAGTAGAGGTGGCAAACATCAAACAGGTAGGACTTTCTGTCGCCCAAACCAGCCAATGAATAGGCCCCTACACCCCAGGCACCACCCAACCGATGATAGGGAAGGACCCGGGCCCGAAACCAATCTCATGCAGTGATAATTGTGATTTAGAACGATGTCACGTAGTATAATACTCGGATCCGTGCTCTTTGTTACCGGTGATGAGCCATTACGGTGAAAAGTGGCGGCTAATCGTGACTTGATAAACGGCCGGGCCCCAGCCGTCTGAGATAAGTCGCCGCCCGGTTAAATGTCCCGGGGATCCCGCCTTCTGTGGTGGACGGGAGAAAGCTGGCACCCGGTAGCGATGATTTAACACAGCGGGCGGGCGGACAGGCGGCGGTCACAGACCCCTGCTGAGCCCCTCCCCCTCCCCTACCTCCCCCTGCCCTTCTGGTGACTGTCCCTGCGCCACCGGTTCCGGGCGACAGGCGGGTCGGACCCGGACCGGCCATGGGCGAGACGAAGGGACTTGTGCAAGTTTGATATACACGTAGATCAACGGACCTGAACTATCGGCTGGGATTCTGGGACATATTCGTCTCAATTAAACACTTACAGCTCAAACATTGAGCATTTCGCTACGCTTGCGATGAGTCGTGATTGTGAGGATACGATGAGTCGATGACGGTATATTTCAGCCCCACAGTGAACATAACTGTCGGCGATTGGCGTTAGTGTCACCTTTTATACCGGTGTGCTCACCTTTCTTATCGCGGCGTTCCTGCGTCGCACCTGATCCAGCCGCTGCTCGGGGGTGAGCGTCTCCTGATCGACCCGCTTCTGGAGCTCCCGACGCCGCTCCTCTCTGTCAGAACGAACCAGGAGTCGTGAACTGTTACCAAATGCCATCGTAGAGTCGTTGGGACGGTTCATACAACTGGGGTCACAGACGCAGGACATATGGCAATACGGAACTGGTATCAGACGCTGGCTGCTTGTTAGCTTCTACCAACTGTTCCTAGGCATGAGTCGCACATTCGCCCAAGGTCTGATCTGAAGGGCAATCAGCAGTTTCACTTCGTGGCGTCTTTATACGAAAACACTGGTCATGTTTTACGGGCTGGCCTCGAACCCTTCAAACTCCCAGACGGCGATATAGAATTGTGCAACTACGATACGCAGTTGCTTAACTACGAACAAGTGTTAAAAGTTCACATATGCATAAGCGACAAACCCAACCATACAAGATGTCTCACAGTTTGGTCAGGCGTCGCTCCACCTCCAGCTGTCGCTCCAGCAGGACCTCCATCCTCCTGGGAGGTCTGCCACCGGCCACCGGCACGTCAGGACGCCGGCCGGGGACGTCAGACATCACTGACAGTAAGCGTCAAGCGAGCAACGTCAGACTGACGGTAGAACGTCAGAGGACACTGACAGCTCAGCGGAGTCAGACTGACGGTTCAGCTGCGTCTGCCTGCGCGCCCTGCCGTAGAGTGGCGTCAGGTTGACGGTAGAGCGACATCATACTGACGGCCCAAAGAGACGTTGGTGGTAGAACGACGTCAGACTGACGTAAAGCCCGCTGACAGACGGGTCTGAGGTGTATCTGTGGGGTCACAAACGGGACAGGGTGAGCCTAGCGGGGGGTTACCGTTAGAGATGTGGAAGGTGGCGCACAAGAGGTATTAACTAGGTCAGTTTTGGGTCTGCAAAGTGACGGCCCGCTAGCCATCGGTGCCGGCCGGTGGAGAGCTGCCGTTCCGCCCTGACCGGCGGCTAGCCACGCAGTTGAACATTGCGAAACGCACTGCACCTGCGCCTATCGCGGCACGTCGCTGCACTCTGCGGGCGAACGGTGCCAGCGGCCAAAACGGTGCCAAGTGACGCGGCGCTAAACACGCAAAACACCGTGATTACACGGCACTTAGGGGAGCGGCCGAGCGCTTCTGAATAAACAGGGCGCGTGACCTGACTAATGTACAGAAAGGAGTGTTTCTTGACGTCCAAATGACTGATCGCTTTGCGCAATATACGCTTCCGAACGTATGAATAGTCCTATGAGCCCAATGCCCTAAATATGACGGGACCCCTCCTTGATGCTATGCAAATCAACAGCTGCCCAAAGCATCGTCCCTCGGTACACCAACCAACCAACCAACCCACCTCAACCCCTCTGGTAACCAGTCCCACACCACCTGTCACCGACACTCGTACCTACTTACCCCACCCGGGTCCGTCTCTGGTCGGTAACTGCGCCGCCGTCCGCTGGGCGGCGCTGCGGTCGCCTTGCTAGCCGATCGATGTATAGATTATCGGAGGCGGCGTTTGCATGTGAGGGAGTCCGGACTCCGGACCGTGAGGGTGTACGGACTCGTGAGTTGTCCAGGCCAGCCTGGCGAACTCAGAGTTGGGCTCGGCGACTAGGGACACTACAGACAGACCGCGGCGCTAACAAGTAGACACTCTGGGCTGACTGGCGAACGGTAGGCTGACCGATGAACAGCCGAACGGCGAACATCATACAAACCGCTGAGCAGTAAATTACTGAGTGGCATAGGGCAGACCGAAGAATAGGTATACCGTTGAGTAGTAGGTAAACTACAGGCATGTCACTAAGAAGCAGGCAAACGACTGAACATAACCTACGCTTATATCGAACTTGTGTTCGCACCAAGCTACATCAGCTAATGCTGTGTTTTACAGGATCGTGACTGCAGAACGGTTCACCGGTCACTAGGGTGTGCCATGCTGGTCCGTTGGCCACAGCCAAACCTGCCGACGGGTGAACACGTCCATCAAAGGTGTGTATGTAAACGGTCGGTCGACGTCCAAGGGCCTACCCCGCTAGTTAGTCATCACCGAGGCTCGGTCGGTCTTTCGGTCACGGTAACGATCGAGTTCGTTCCCATCCATCGGTTGCAGAGGTCAGGTCGGTCGGGCCCTCGGTCAGAGGCTCGGTCGGTGGGCCCGACGATCACAGATGCTCGGTCGGTCGGACCGTGGGTTACACCGTACCCCGTCGGTCAAGGTAACGGTCGCTCGGGTCCATCCATCGGTTAAGAGGACAAGTCGATCGGTCCGTCGTCGGTCTCACGTACCCCGTCGGTCAAGGTCGCTCGGCCCGTCCGCCGTCGGTCAGGGGCTCGGTCGGTCGGTCCGTGGGTCTCACGTACCCCATCGGTCACGGTGACGGTCGCTGGGCCGTCCGCCGGCGGCCGTCTCTCTCGGAATGGCCCGGCAGATGGCTGAGCGGTGCCACCACTCAAGGCCGCCAGGTCGTTAGCAGACGCGATGAAGCGAAACGGCGCCCGACGCCGACCCCCCCCCCCCCCCAACTGCATCCCGGCACGGATTCAAACGACATTCTACGCAGCGACGCAGGCGGTATCGGTTGGAATCACATACTCGCAAACCGAATTAAATATCTCACGAGCAGCTTAGGGTGCGTGTGCGAGCCGCACGCCCTTTCAGACCGTGGTGCCACCTACCCCTATTACAGGTCAACTACCAGCGTGCTAATCGGCTTGATCCTGCACGACCCTGGATGAAAATATGATTAATCTAGAGATGGTTCTCGCAAGTACTGCGTCCCCAGCTCCCCTCAAGCAGCAAGCGAACTCGCGTACACTCAACCATCCGAAGACAAATCACAGCTTGATTACAAAGATATATTGGTTAAAGTGACATAAAAACCGGTCAAAGAAATCCAGAATCTACGTGCTTTGTACGTTCCAAGAATTCTGGTGATGCATATCCCAATAGAAACGTGTCGAGCTATATGCACAGTGCGACACCACGCTAAAACAGACGTCACCGCGCCGATCGCCTCGGCGCAACGTAAACCAACAAGCCGCGTGGATAAAATCGACAGCGGAGAGATACAGCGAGGGAGAGGAAGCAGTAGCGCCGGCACGCGCACACACTCGGTCACACGCCCCCACCACGGCGGCCGGTGGTGTACAGGGCCACGGCGAGCCACCCGCTGGTGACCGGACACCGCGCTCCGCCGCCGCGACCACACACAGACGGCACTGGACGGTCCGCCACCGCGCCGTCCTCAACAAACGCACAGACAGCCGCGCCAGGAATGACTTTATACAATGAACGCCGACAGACGCGGCGCGCTCTCCACACTCACGTCACCCACTGATGCCACCGGTGTGATGTCATTCACGTCAGTCTCTGGCAGTCACATCACTGACGCCCCATGGCGCGGCGCTCAGGCCGACAGCGGGTCGGCCACGGCCGCCTGCTCGGGGTGGCCGTTAGCTGAGATCAGGGCGGTCTTCCCGGCGAGCTGATCCGACTCGGTGACCGACTGGCCGTTGTCAGCCGCCGGTACCTCCATCTCCTCGTCACTGCTCTCCTCGTGGACAATGGGCACGCCCTTACGGAACTGGCGGCGCGTTACCTCACCGTCCTTCATCTCGAGCTCGATCACTTCCTCGCCGTCTTCCTCCTCGGCTGGCGGGTCGCCGCTGCCCGCCACGAAATTGGCGATCGCCTCCAGCGTCTCCGCGTCGGCGTCGGCGGCCGGCTGCGAGCGTCGCTGCCGACGAGCCTGGTCGCGCTGGTGGGCGCGCAGCGCGGCGCGGCCGTGCATCCGCAGGTGGCGCTGCAGCCGCTCCTCGTCTCCGCACTGGGCGCGGCACACGTGACACTGGCCGGGCTCCAGGTCACGGGTCAGCTGCTCCCACTGCTGGATCTCACGCTGCTGTTCAGAGGCGGCCACCTCTGGCGGAGGCTCACGCAGACGGTGCACCAGAAGTAGATGTTTCAGCAGGGATGGTTTGGTCGAGTAGCACTGGCCACACTCGGGACACTGGTGCTGGCTGCCCTGCCGGTGCAGTGCCACGTGCGCCACGAAGTCGGCGCGCACGTCGGTCTGAAGGCCGCAGCAGACGCACCGGTAGCCGGCCTGCTGCTGCTGCTGCGGCGCCGCCGGCTGCTCCTCGATCGGCGAGCGCGACCGTTTGACGCGACTGAGGCGCGGCGGGCCGTCCTCGCCGGCCGGCCGCGGCCGCTTGGTGCCGCCCTTGCCGCCGCGTCCGCCGTTACGCCGTCGCCGGCCCTCAGAGGCATCCTCGCTCACAGAGGAATTCTCACTGTCCAGGTCGTGCAGGCTGGTGATACCCGGCAGCGGCCCGGCCACCCGACGGATCAGCGCCTTCTTACTGGCCATCTGACTCAGCGGAACATCGTCGTCGTCATCGTCATCCATGGCCGGTGCGTCGCCGGCCGCGGGCGGCTGCGGCGGCTTGGGCCGCGCCGGTCGGCCCTGCGCGGCGCCGCGGTGCTTGGCGAAGTTGTGTCGCAGAAGGTCACTGAGCGCAGCGAACTGCAGCTGACAGTAGGGACACGTGAAGTCGCGCAGATCGTGCTCCGTCTCCAGATGCAGCTGTAACGCGTCACGACTGCCCAGTTTGGCGTAACAGAGGCCGCACCGATCGCTGCCAATCTCAGCCGCGTGCTCGGCGATGTGGTTCTTGAGCAGCTCCTGCGACTCGAAGGCAGAGGTGCAGAGCAGGCAGAGCGGCACCCCCTCCTGGATATGGGCACGTAGGTGCTCCGTGTGCGCGGCCTTACGACGGAACTCAGCCTGACAGACGGGGCACCGGTGCATCACCACCGGCTTACGGCCCGGCTCCTGCTTTATCTTAGGCAACGGCACCGGCAGCGTGTCGGCAGAGCGCGACACTGCCTGTTTGGTAGCAGCTACCGGCGCCTGGACCGGCGCCACCGGCGCTGGTGGCGGCGGCGGCGGCGGCGGCGGCGTGGGTGCCGGCGGCGGCGAGGGCGCCATCGACGAATACTCGTGCTGCGATTCCAACGCAGCGATTTGGAATTCCGGATGCTTCTGGGCGAGGTGGTCTGAGAGTAGTTCTTTGCGCCCGTAGTCGACGCCACACTCTGGACATCTAAACACGAAGCGAATCTGCTCAAGCACGCGGTCACCGTGCTTCTTGGAGGCCAGGTGATCACGCAGCGTCTTCGGATGGTTGAAGGTGGCGGCACAGAACGGACACTTGAGAATGGGCATGTAGGGCGTATCGCCGTGCATAGTCTCACCATTGTGCTTCACGTTGACGTGGCTGTTGAAGCCGTTGATGGACTCAAAAGCCAGCGGACACTTGCGGCACTTGTAGAGTTTCTGGACGTGCGTCTGCAGCATGTGCAGCTTGACGTCACCCACCTCGATCAGGCAGACGGAGCAGCATATTTTGAGGTCGCGGGTCAGGTGCAGGCAGCCGGCTACTACATGACGCCGGTAGTCATCGTACGAGCCCAACACCTTGAAACCGCACTCGGGGCACACGTAAGGGTAGGGGAACAGGTTGGGCTTGTGCAGGCCGTGGTGCGCCAGCAGTGCACACTCGGACGGGCAGGGCTGAGCGCACTCCGGGCAGCGCGGGGGTACGGCCTCCAGCGCCTCAGAGCTGGACGGACAGATGTGCGCCCGCAGGGTGTCCGTGTTGCACAGCGTGTTGCACATAGGGCAGCTGATGTCCTGGGGCCTGCCGGAGCACACACAGAGATCGGGAGCGTGTCAGATGGAGCCACGGAGAGCTCAAACTCAGGTATCAGCATTGACAGTGGTGGCACAAACATGTGGGTGACCCAGAGCTAGGCGCTGTGGTATATTGAGCTCTGCTGTTACTTCCGGTTCAATACTCGTATAAAAAAGGACATAAACACCAGTGTCTTTCAAATAGTTTAATCACCATACATTCTCGATATTTACTGGTCATTATATCCACGTGAAAAGCCACGGTGTCTTTATGAAGCCTCACCAACCAAGCTTTCTGTACACAACTCCGCCCCGTCCCCCTCCACCCTAACCGCTCCTTACTTTCGCTCTGGCTCAGCGTGCACCATCTGCACTAGCCGCGGCGGCCCGGTGATGAGGCGGGCGCCGAGCGACGGCAGCACGCGAGTCGGAGAGCTCAGCTCGGCGGCGCTCAGTGCTGAGATGTCCACCGACTCGGGGTCCAGTGACGACGCTTCCAGACCGTGACTGTCCAGGTGCTCTGTGAGTGGCACACAAACAGACTTCACCGTTGGAGTCACCTCATCGTTACGGCATGTCAACACAACCAGCCGGGTCTCAAGTCCGGGTACTCAAGTTGAGTTGAGTGATTCAGGGGTTGTTTATTAGGGCTTTAGGGCGCGTCGAACGTAGCTCTAAATGTCCTTGGAATCAACACACATGCGATGATGGTTTTAACGACATAGCCGTCCCCGAGCGTCGGTTAATATGTTGTTGGCGCGGAGCGAATGACTACCTGTAGAGCACCGGTACTCGCCACTCACCGATAAATCGACACTTGTTGTAGAAGATGCACGTTTTGTCAGTTATTTTGCACTTGAAGGCGATCTCCATGGTGCGTCGGTTCTTGTGTAGTGCCAGACTGGAGGGCAGCACGAACCTGCGGCACAATCGACGGATACTTTTATAGAGGCTACTGCAAACACCACAAAACAAAACACATCAATCCTAACCCAAGCCCGGTGCCAATAACGGCGTTACACAGTCCACAGGCAATGCGTTTATCATTTCCAGACGGCTGGCCCACATTTTTCACCAGCAGCCGAAATAGCGCAGCTGCTGCCGACAACGAGCCACTTTTGATAAGACTCCTCGGTCAGCCACACCCGGCACGTTTACAGAGCCACCAATGAGGGGGCGCTACCGAGTCGCCCGCTAGCGGCCGGCCTAAGTTCCGTCAGTCACACAGTATCGAATCCACCATTCAACGGCTTATAGCCTTATAAAGTCGTTCTTTTTTAGGGAAAGGGAAGAAAAATAGTGACAGCAACTTGTGTAAAACATAAATTATGAACCCATGAATCATTATGAATCCTTAAAAGCGGCATGATCCGCTTGCCGCAAGTTTCACCACCGCGAATATGTTATTCGCCCCGTGTTACAAATTAGCGTCCTCAATGACAAAAAAACGTTTAAATCCCACATAAATGTTTAAACCCCACACAAAACCCTATCAGCAGCCATCTGCCCTTCCTCGCCATCCGGTGAAATACCAGTACCAGGGACAGGTACCGCTCTTAATAACAAAACTAAATTTTACGGTCGAAAGCAGATAGAAAACAGCTATATCAGCCACGCAAATACTTCTGATGGGCCATCGCCAGCCAGAGTCAGCAATTTCCGATCTAAGCCGGCGGATTTCGTCAACCCCCACCTGTAAACCTTCGCACAGGCGGCTTAGGAGCAGGGCATTTCGGCAATCCCCACCTGTAAACCTTCGCACAGGCGGCTTAGGAGCAGGGCTGCACTCTGCAGCCGATGGATTTTCGGCGACTCCGACTCCGGCTTCCAAAAATCGACTCCGACTCCGACTCTCACCCCAGCTCCGACTCCAGACATCTCTCTTAAACTCCACGTCATGATAGTAAATATAGTCGGTTTAGCTTTTTGCCTCGCTTGAAATTCGCACATTTCTCCGCCTTACACAGCAATTATACTTCATAATTTAACATCCTCATCTAAAAACAGGTTCTGGCGCAGCCGCCGCTTTCTACTTCTCACGCTCAAAACACTCATCCAGAATAAAAGCACGACCTAGATTCGAAAAAAGCATAGATAACGAAAGTAAGATTTTCCAACAAACAGGCCGAACCGAATACGACTTTAAGCCATGCAATGTCGACTCCAACAAGCAAAGTTGGTAAGAATTTGGCGATTCCCACTCCGACTCCGGGCAAAACTATCAACACCTACCGACTCTGACTCTTAAGCCCAGCTCAGGATTATAGGGGGGACTCACCTTTCACCGCACTGTTCGCACATGAAGCCCTCCCGCGGCAGCGGCAGCTGCAGCTTGTTGGGCAGCCGGGCGATGTCCGTAGTGGAGCGCCGGCCGGCCAGTACCGCGTTCAGCATCTCGGTGCGGTTCAGCGGGATCACCGGCACCGGCTCGGCCGGCGGTGGCGGCGGGGGCGGGGGCTCCTCGGCGTCGGCCATAGTGAGCGCGGCGGGGTCCGGCGGGCTGACCTGGTCGGGCGGCAGTACCGAGATGGCGGCGGGCTCCGTCACCGGCTCCGCCACCTCCGGCTGAGGCGCCGGGTCCTCGGCAGTGGGCGGCGCCGGCTGCTCATCGGCCACCTGCTCCACTTTACCGGGCTGGGTCTCGGTGGCCGGCTGGACTGCGCTGTCAGCTGGGGGATCCTGCTCCATGGGAGTAGCAGAAGCCTCCTGATCAGGGGCAGGAGCTGGGTTCTGGGCTGTGGTAGACTCAGGTTCAGCTGCAGCTTCTTCAGTCAGGTTGGCTGCCTGAGCTGAACCGCCGATCTCCTGCATTAGAAAAAGGAGGACCAAAACATAAGCATCAGTGATCTTTATGGCACTAATAATTAGGACAAGTGTCATAAGGAAGGACAGACACTCTGCCAAGCGAAGAAAAAATGTTAAGTTACCTGGGCCAAAACATGTCACATATGGTTCTTCCTTTGCATGGCAGCACTGTCGACTCATGAAGACACATTTACTCCATATTACCAAGCCAGAAGCCATGCAACTTGCAAGTTGTCAGTAATCCAGTATATGCCACTGCTGCCTCAGCCCATTCATCTATTCACCTCATTCTTACTACCAAATGTCAGTTCATGAGCTTCAAATGTATATGCAAGAAGGGAATGAGACATGATAAGAACTAGAAATCTACAAGTCCCAAACTAGTCATGTTACCAGGGAGGTTAGTAAGTGTACTGTTGGCTGTCAGAGCCATACCTGGGAAGAAGCAGGGCCACTCTCATCTCCACCTTCAGCTGGTTCTACTGCCATCTTTTCTGGAGATGACATCACCTGAAAAATGCAGACAGAAGAAATTACAAAACAAATTGAATGAAGTACGCTGGTCATCACTCAGCAGAGCCAAATTTGAGACACTTCAGGTTCAGGCTTGAGAGTTCAGAGATCATGTGGGAATGCATGTTGATTCAGTGGCCAGTTGCATACTTTTGCATTGACACAACCTGTTCAGCTTTCACTACTTGTGATAAGTTGGATTGGAAATCAACAATCAAAGCCAGGTCACAATCAGTCAGTCGTGCAACTAGCAGTTAACAACTTGTAGCATATCCAAAAACTTAGCACCGAGAGTTTGCACCCACTTACACAGAGGAACTGTATGAATTTAATTCATAAAGCTAGCTGAAAGTAAAAAAAATCCTAACTAGCATCAAGTTACACCAAAAAGTTCATACAACAAGTTGATAAGTAAGGGCAATAAAAAGGAATAACTATCAAGTAGGCAACATCAATAAAGGTCACAAAACTACTCTTTGAAGATTGCATTGGTTAAAAAAATAATCCCAAGACATCCAGAATATGTACATAAGTATCAGTGGGTATGTATTTAATAATTTAATTCATAATTCATCTCGTTTTAGCGCTTCGTACAGTGCAACGGCCAACGCTAACGCTGACGCCGCGTGAGAATCAAACAGCGCCATTTTGGCCGCAGACGCCGCCGTTGAACGCCGCCACGCGACGACGCACGCGATTTATTGACATCCCTGTCCTGTGATAGAAGCGATGGAACTATGAAAATCACCACTTGTAATCGCTTTATGTGAAAAGTACATGGGCCAACAAAAACAGCCAGTCTCAACAGTTCGTTCCACGGACAAGTCGGCTGGGAATCGCGAAGGGCGACCGCCATACTAAAGGCAAGTTCTCCCATTCTCATGGATAAAAAGGCATAACTCACTGGTCTGCTTTAAATACTGATTATGAAAGAAGATATGTTATGCTTACCTTCTTTAAAAAGTCAATCCACGGAACAGCAAACAAGCCTTCCAAAGATCCCCAAAGCGTCTTCGGCACACCACCGCCACCTAGCAGCGTAAAATTTCGTTTTCCACGTCTCTGCGATATCTTCGGGAAATGCTGTTAGGTGGCAGCACTTGCCTGGAACATTTCAGCTTGTAGTGACATCTCTTGGGAAGAACAGAAACTAGGCTGGGGAAGTCAGCTGACACCGTGAAGCTGTTGCTGATTGCTGATTGGCTACATTCTGACTCACAACTCCGAGTGACATGGAGTGAGAACAGTCATATGCTTTTCGGCTCCGCTTCCGCGATCTTTCCCTAGAGATCTTTCTTGAATCTTTCATCTTTCCACTCCGCTCCGCCCCCTCTCCGTTCGCGGTGGCGCTATAGAGGGAGGATGGATCATTAGAGGCAGGGGGCGTGTTTTTATTGACATTGAGTATACTAAGGAAGGGTGTGAAGTGTGAACTGTGAAGAAGCTGAGACTTCAAGTTCGGTTTGTGAGCACAGAACAGGCCAAGGTAGGTAAATAGCAAAATATTTTTTTTCCTGGGCCGATGTGACATCAACGTGTCGGTGCTGGGTGCAGGGCGTGCGGGGAACATTTTTTTTTTGGCATTGGCTGTGCTTCACTTTACCTGACACAGACTGAGACTGAAACAGGGTAAATGTCAAGTTTAAGTCCTAAGAAGATTTCATTGATAAATTTTTCATATTCTTACATTATTTGACATCCTGAATCCAAAAATGATACTCATTTGTCTCGCAAATAAAAGAAAAAAACATAATCAAACCTGACCTAACCTTACCTACTTACCTATAACCTACCAACCTACAACCTACAAACCTACCCTAACCTAACCTAACCTACAAACCTACCTACCTACAACCTAAAACCTACAAACCTACAACCTAACCTAACCTAAAACCTAAAATTTTTGCTGTTTCATATTCGTATCAACAGCGTCACAATTGTAGTTAGGACCTAAACTTGACATATACCCTGAAACAGCTTTGGGTAGGTATTAGTTCATGTGACAGTAATAAACTAGTGATCTGCTCTAGGTATGTAAATACCATTTGTCTAGATCTAGTGGTCACCTTTGAAGTGTATTTTTCCAAATGTTAAGTCATCCACTGACCACTTCCTCTCTCTGCCAACAGACAATACCATGGAGGATGCCATCTCCCGTGGCAGCTGTGATGACGTCTACCAGCCATGTGAGATGTCGTACAAGCCCGGCCTGGGCTACAGCCGCTATTCGGCTGCCCTGCGACAGCTCATCCCAGTCAGGAAGACCAAGGTGTAAGTACCTAACCAGGGCTGCAGATGGGGAATGACAGCACTTTTGAGCTGAAATCAGAGTACTGGGGCTTGCCATAGAGATCTTATATACATAGAGATGACATGCACTTAAAATCGTGGCGATTCAGTGGGTCTTTTTAAGCAACTTATTTTCAGTCAGTAGCGTGCCAATATGGCTGAGGCATTGTTAGTCTGAAGAAATTATTACGTAGCGAGCGAAGCAAGCGTAGTCTTTCGTAGATTAACGGAAATTTCTGAGTATGAGCGGCCGGCCGGCCGTGGTTACGCTTTTGCGAGGCTTATATCTCAGCAACCACTTGACCGATTTACATTTGATGATTTTTCTAGGGTAGCTTCATTCCTTCTACCAAGTATTGGACTATTCTCGATGCATGTGGGTGACCGCTTATGCACGTGCCACGTGCAAAACGAAGAGGTGTCAGTTTTGCAATTGTTGCAATATCTTGGTAACTACTTGGCCGATTGCGCTGAAAGTTGGTATGTAGATAGGCACCCACTAGGCAATGCATATCCATGTGCCACAGTTGGGGTGCTGCTGCACGTGCGCACGTGCAGGGGTCGATTCCAGATCTCGAGAACGGCTGAACCGATTGTGCTGAAATTTGGTACATGGTTAGGGACCAGTTGGTATGGTGCCGTGCAAAAGTCAGTTGTGACCCATTTTGCACGTGTGCACGTGCAGAGTGCCGCTTCCAGATCTCGAGAACGGCTAGGCCGATTGCGCTCAAATTCGGCACATCGCTAGGGACCGGTTAGTAGGGTGCAGTGCACAAGTTAGTTGGAGGTGTCCCTGGCAAATTCGCTTGTCCAAGGCCCACCCTCTCGCTCGCTCCGTTGGTCGCCCCAAAAGGCGTTTTACTGGTTAGAAATATTGCTGTTCTTTCCTGGCTGATTTCATTCCTGAGGTAAGCAATGAAATTTGTAGCATGATTTCATTTTGTGTTTTTATTGAATTCCTTAAAAGCTCGCCTAAAAACATTCTCTCTCATTCAGGCTCTCATCAACCCGGCAAGCGGTGGACCTCCCGGCCACCTTCCGCGCGGTGGGGGGGGGGGGCATTTTTTGCCCCCCTCCCGTATCTCCGAAACTACTGGACGGATCTGTAACATTCAAACGATGTTCGATAGCCCTGTCAAATTTGTCGACGGAACTCCAATTTCATTGACCTCGGGCTCACCGATGACGTCACAGGTCAGGTCAAAGATAAAATGTTTCGCGTACGTTAAAAATAGGACGTACGTTGCCTAATATATATGTTGTTATTAGAGGCCACTGATAATACCATGTCAGGTCACAGGTCAGGTCACCAAGGGTCAGCACATGAACCAAATTTACTATTTACTAGGGTTGTGCGATGCTTGTTTTATGGCCCCCCTGACATGGTCCCCCTCCCAAAAAAAGGTTACAGGTCTAAGATCATTTGGGTCAGGTTCATGGAATTTTCAGGGTAGGTTCCTTGAGATTTGGTCAAGTTTGGCGCTTTCGGTCAACCGTCGTGAAAACGGCTGTTCTGAACTTTTCTGAGCACCGTGCAAGCTCAAATATACATATGTTGCATGTTCCCATTCAATGATACATTAACCCTCGCCGGAACTATTGGTTTTCTACATACGCGCCGGCCGGGGGGGGGGGGGTGGTACGATTTCCCTCGCCGTTTCGCCCCGCCCCTGATGAAGCTAGAGCGTCGCGGAAAAAAACAAGCGTGTCCTCCGTTACAAGACGCAGGGACTGGAACCCGATTTTAAAGGTAGTGTGCCACCTTTGAAAGATTTCCCATTTTATTTTTCCTAGGATAAGAAGCTTCTGTTTTTACCTAATATCGCAAAAAAATCAAAAATGGGCCTGGAATAGTGCCTTTTTTTCGCCTAAAAGTTTATCGGTTTTTCGATATGTATAACAACTGTAGTGGTCTGACCTGCAAACAGGCGTCGGCAACAATCGCGAATGCGGCGCACATGTGACAATAAGCAAAGGTCATTATAGAGTTACGACGTACGGGAATGAGTTATCAGCTGTCTAATCGTAGACAACACAATGTCGAGCCTTAAACTGTAAGCCTGTAAGCTTTGGGCGCGGTCTACCGAACCACCTAACAGGCGTGTTCGAAACCGCAGGAGATGATGATGAACGGGTTTATCGAAACTTGATTGGATGAGCATATCGGTAATAGCGATTTCAGTGTGTGCATTTATTGTTCATAGTGGTGTGAAATGTGGTTGGGGTACGACCGACAACCCGTCGGGGCGAATTTCGAATTTGAAAGAGGTCATGTTACATAGTACTCGAATCGGCAGGTCTTCCTGAGTTTAGTGGTGGCTTTCCCGACTCGCTAACTCAATTTGATGGGGAGTTATTGATGAAAAACTCTAATGACCCAAGTATATAACTGCAATGAAAACCGTAAGCCTCATGCTAATAATTATATTCAAAATAGGGCCAAGAAAATAAGACATGTTGGCCAAACTGACAAACTGACTTTTGTCAAACCGTCTTACGGTTTTCATTGCAGTTATATATTGTGTAATCATGGAGCCTCAAAACCGCGCTTTCTTTAATCAATGACCCAAGTGACCATAAATGACGCCACGCAATGTCAACAATGCAAAAGTGAAGCATCGGACCTTGCAAGACGTGCAAGAAATCACGATTCCATGTGCTGGAGACAGCTTGAGATAGTTCTCGGCGCTAACATAGCAGTTTTCATTTTTCCCCATTGACTTATACCTAATGGTGAGGTCACGTGGCCGACCTGACCTCATGTGATTTTTAGGGAAAATCCGAGATATATGTACAAGTTGTGAGACCTCTGGATGATACTACATCCTGTAAGTTTCATCTCCCTGTGAAAGTTCCTCTGGCACTGACGGCGTTGCGAAGTTGTGACATCTGAGGACTGTGCAGAGGTTCACTTATGACGTCACAGGTCAGTGACCTGACCTGACCTGAAAATGCGGTTGGTGTCACAAGATGCGGCTTGGATCAAAGGTCAGGTATGCCAAGTTTCAGCTCTCCATCGCCTGCGTGTTCGGAGCTATCGTTAAAAACCCTATATGGGAGGCGGCACCCGCCCCCCCCCCCGTCGGACGGCGAGGGTTAATGATACATGCAGTACCTGATACGAGCATAAGGTTAAAACATGCCTAATTTCATTTCAATAATAACGCTCGAAAGCGTCACAGCTAGACAAAAAAGAAAAACTGTACTTAAAAATAAGCGGATGTGAACACAATCTCCTTGACCGAATCCTTACAAAATGCAAGTCACGGGCCATGGCACCCCAGAAAACCTTGCTTAAAAAGACCCACTGAATCGCCACGAAATCAAGTGCTTTAACATAGGCGTGTCATCTCTATGTATATAAGATCTCTATGGGGCTTGCATTGTCTGCATTAGTTAGTAACTTTTGTAATCCATTATTCCCGTGTCTATCTGGTGGCTAACAAAGTTGCTGCCAAACTGGAAGATGGACAGGGACTGGATGATGTTTTTCATCCCCAGTATGGCAGCCCAGAGCCACAGAATTGACGGCAATTGGTGGCATTCGAAAGGTGATCCGAGACCATTCTGAGTAAATGCTGATCATAGCTGATGGACGGTCACAAATAGTAAAGGAACAATTTGCGCTATTTGCATGTCAGGTCATAGATCATGTGATTATCACCAGACGTAGTCGATGGTTAACCTTCCTGGTTTGTAGACGTTATTATAAATTGGATCCTGAGTCGACCATCTACATCGCAGAAAAAAGACATTTGATAGCTACTAAAACAGTTCTGCACTCAGTATAGTCAGATAAAATGCGACCTCGATTTAACGATCATTGTGTCCCCCTCATCGAGGCGCATCGAAGGATGTAAAATGCATTTTGAGCCTTTTGAAGGCGTGTCCTTAGAATACGATGATCACCTGACCAAATAAGGTCATATTTCGTATCGTTTGTTCCGTCTGCCGCGACACGAGAGTGATGCTTCAGCGAGCGAGTTTCGCATTACAGCGAATCATTTTCACCATGTCAGCTGAAGCGACAACAATTGCAATGATAAATGAGCATTGAAACAAAGCAAAAATTTAAACGACGATTAATGCTGAAGCATAGCCCTTGCTCTCGTCGATAGTCGTTATATTCGATAATAGATAAAACGACGACCGGCATGAAGAGAATAAGGTGAGCGAACACTCGCTCAATGTTCGCTCACCTTAGCCGTGCGCAAGAGCTTATCCGTATTGTTGAGAGGAATACATCGGAAATGTTTTTTTTTATGGCTTACGCTTGCCTCTGCAACAATTCGCTTCCGAATAATGGGTTGCTACGTTTTCGCGACTTCACCACTGGCGGTCGCAGCCGGTAGCAAAAGGGGGGGCCAAAGTCACACTCGCGGGACATAACATTTATCCGTCACCGGGAGGGGGGGGGGGGGGTGATCGGCTAATTTTTTACGTCCACGAGGTGCCGCGCAGTTGGCATTACTTATGCTTCATCCATCTGATTCTTGCGTGAAATCTTTAAGCTCAATTTAAGGCAAAATCACCAGTTCCATTTCCCGTCCCACGGTGCTTCCACCGGTCGGCCCACTGCACCATGACGACGGATCGGTGTAGCATAGGTATGCTGGAAGGTCAGGCACGCGGATTCATGACCTTACCACTATAAAACAATTCGGAAAAGTACAGATACCTCTTGCTTTGAACAAGCATGTGAAACCCAGAGAGCATTTTCAGACTATGACATTTACCCATATAGGTAACATACCTAGTTGTGTGGCAGCGGGAGAGAGTAGGTACACCGACCTCTGGAGACCCCCCACAGGTTCCGAGCTTTCAAAATTGGCATCTGAGGGCCGCGCGTGACTCCTGCGGGGCTTCGCAACGGCTCTATTGGGGCTCACTCAACCTGCCTAGTCTTACTGCTAAAAAGACTGGCCCTGAGCCCTAAGGACTTCATCGGTCTCTGCCAGCCCCAGGACCCACAACGGCTCATG